GGGGTAATTGAACATTACATAAATCCATGAGCAGATACATTACTGTGGGATATACTTCTAAAAGGGATCAGTAAATTTCATGCTTTTCACTGAAAATCTTTAAACCTGACTGACCATCCTTTGCTAGGGATGGGTATGCGAGCTCACTTGAATTCCATCTGTTATTCTTGATTTAATATGTAAAGATTCAGCTTGCTCCATGAAAAGAGGACTTCATGCTGGTATTCCAGCCAGGAGCAATTCCATCTCCAGGCTACAGAAAAGTCATAGGTCTGCTGAAAGCTGGTTATGAATGCCCTAGAGACATAAAGTAACAATCAGATTCGCCCTGTGAAAGAACTAGTACAAACCCTAACCAACATAGCCTCTCTTAATTATCAGAATTGGAGGTAGGGGGTAATCCAAGGATAGTAACCCAGGACTTTCTGAAACAATTCAGTTTTTTCCATGGTAACAGGCACCCTCATTTCCAGAATGATTTCTGTGTATATATAAAAAAAGAATAAACATTACTTTCAGTACATTCTGGATTACTCTAAATTTTGGATTCGAACCTAACCAATGTTCTATTTTCAAATAAATAACTTTAGAATTCAACAGTTTCAATGCAGTTTTAAATTCAAAGACCCAATATAATTTATTCCACTTATCATCATATGCTCATCACTATGAACTTTGTCTAAGAGACCTATCTACTTGGTCCTTTTCTTGCTCAAAGCAATGTGGAAGCTTAACTGCCTATCCCTAAGAGGAGTACCCAGAAAGAAGATATAACCATTTTCAGGGGAAAACATGCATGCATTTATTTTTAAGAATTCCCAGTAAGGGGGAAAAAAAATTCAACATCTTTAAAAATGTGTTTATTTTTTAAAAAATCAGTTGTGTACAAAAGTGTTTCGTAGCTTTTAATTCTCAAGACAAATACCCGACCCTCCACCCATAACCCACCCTGTTTCAATGGTCTTTCTGGTTAACCCACCCATTTTCCCCTTACAGGAAGTTAATGGCTCAGAATAGACCCTCCTACAGAATTTATCATCACTAACAGATTGTTTAGAATAGAGATCTAGAGAAGCTAACAAGCAAGGTTCTTTCTCAGTGAGGTTAATGAGAATCCCTATAATGGCAGTAGACTTCCAGCAGACACCACAACAAAGCACCATCAATTGCTGAAAGCTAAAAAATAGATATTTTCAATAGTATTTCATTTTCTATTGGAAAAGTCTTTAAATTACATTAAATAAGTCTCTTTCCCCCCAAAGAAATAGTCTAGCTTTTATTATGATGCCTGTAAAAAGTAGGTAACAGCAAGCACACAAGGATCGTTTAACAGCACAGTGCAATGATTTGTATTCACTCACCCCCTAGAACCAAACTGATAAACTGTGCCACACCTGATTATATATAGCAGCATGGTTGAAATAACCAAGCAAAAGGTGACACATTCACAACTTACATTTAGGTGATCACAGGTTTATGAGGGTAGATCAGTCCAATAAAGTAGTAACAGAACAAACAGGACAAGGGAGATACTAACATTCCCCTATCCCTATGCCACAAGATTTTTGATCCATATTGCAACAGTGCAAACAGAACATGTGACATTATGTGTTAGACACTGCAGGAAAGTAACATTTGAGAAAAAGGCCATTTATCAGTAAGTACTTCAAATTGCCTTCTTCCCCAGTGACAGCAAACAGTTGATGTTAAGCATTTATTTTAAACTGGTACTAAAGGAATGGAAATGCAAATTTTTTAAATCAATGGTTTGTACCCTGGAATTGAAATTTCTTGAACTAGAAAAAGTGATTAATACAACATCATTTTCTAAAGTCCATGAAATAAAATTAACTGTAAACAGACAGCTTCCTTTTTCACATCCAAACATTGATTCCATCTTTGTACAAGAAAGTATACCTGGCTCCAACCCTTCCGTGCCTGAATCCATCTTAAATCTTTAAAACAATAAAAATGCTTTATTGTATTCCTATAATTTCCTGTATTGTGGAATCATAATCATACCCCTATTGCAGAGTTTTAAAAGCTCAAATCAGGCATACACTTATAGCCAAGATCTGCTTTTTCACATCGATAAACTTATTAATAAGCAGCCTAAATAGTAACACAATATGTTGTATTCTGTAGTGCATAAAATAAGCAATATCCAGTTTAAATGCCAATTCTTTCTTAGAGTTACTTTAAAAAAATTATTTTTGCATAGTTTTAAGCGCCACCAACAATCACAAATGTGAAATACTTCCAAAAAGAAAAAAAGTCAGTCTTAGGTTCATTTCATAGATTTCTCTCCTCAAAAGCAAAATACTCAGAATCCAAACATATACATACTTTTATGTGTTATGTGTTTAAGTAAACCACAGTCACAATTCCAAATATTTTGGGTAGCCAACTCAGAATCTAATTTAGTACAAAGTTCCTCAAATATTTATAAACCATCTACTGTATACTTATTTGGGTGACAAATTGCTATTCATTCATTCAGTAATCTGTAATGAAATACTATACAAGTATTTGTCCTTTTAAAAGTCGGGCACATACCCAGGAAATAGACCCAATTATAATAAAAGCCTACTAAATTATCAGTGACCTCTAGCAAATCTGCCTGCTCTAAATGAGATACTATTTTATATATATAAATATTCTTGACTATGTACAAGGATATATATATATTCTTGTACATAGTTTATATATTTATATATATATATATATATATTTAACCATAATTTTTGAGGCCTTTACAACTGACGAATCACAAAAAACTGAGAATTATAAAAATAATTTCTACCAGGGTACCTTTCCCCTAGACCTGCACTTTCAGTGTCCTTTTCCCAAACATGTAAGACCAAAGGAAAAAAAAAGCAATTGCCTTAATTTCTATGTTTGGGGAAATACATCTATCTGTAGAGAAATAAAAAAGAAGGGCAGTGGGAAATACATCAGAAAGAGGAATTATCACATTTAATGTAAATGAGGTAAATAAATTTTTGAAATGAAAACTGCATTATGGAGAACCTCTCATACCAAATATTGTACTTTTCAATTTCCTGGGCACTGAGTAGAGGAGTAGATGGGGTTAATATGCATAAAAATCAAAGGCAAGGTATAAAGGTATAGCTGCCTCCAAGAGCTAAGTATGTAATGCTTGACTTTAGTAATCTCTGAGTTCGTTCTTTTGTCTAACCACAGGAGAATTAAATATACCCTGATAATACAGGCAAATAGTAAATTGGGTAGATGTGTTTGATATTTAAAATAATCCAAGTATTACCAAGCCACCCTCCACTTAAAAAAAAAAAAAAAAAAGTTAATTCTAACCAACAGTAGAACAAAACTGTTCACATTTTCACACAATCCCAACCTTACTTCAAAATATAAAGTACAAGGTTTTAGCTATTTAAAATAAATAAAGAAAAATCTTATTTCCTTTGGCATCTTAGAAAGTAACTAAACTATAACAATTAAAGGAGGTGATTGTATAAAGGAATTTATACTTAAGCAAACACATAGGGGAAAAAAACATACCAACTTGTGTTTAGTATGCAATAATATCAACTACAAGAGCTTACTATTAATTAGGAAAGCCTTACAAGTTTTTGGAAGAACCTTCACATCTTTAACATTACAATATATTTAATAATGGTTCTTTTATTGCTTCTAAGATTATTGAGAAGTCAAATGATATTATGCTGAATTTATGGTTCAAAATTATTTTGCAAACACTTAACGATTGTAATTTAGGATAAATAACACTTGAAGAAAGCAAACCTTTTATAATATGACTTTCAATATACAGCCTTACTTTAATTCATTCTCATTCCATTACATTTTTGTTATTTTGCATTGGTCCTGAAAATTTATAAGAACTGTGTTTCTATGTATAGAACTGACTGCATAAGTCCATTTCAGTCTTCATAAAATGGTCACATTAGTGTTTGAGCTTGCAAAACTAATAATTTTCAAACTTTTGAACTTAGAATGAAATGTAACTTTAATACGAATAGAAAGTCTGACTATGTACAAGAAAAGGTAAAGTTTTCAATTCTCATATTATCAGAAACATCATAAAGAAAGCTAGATTTATAACACACTTCTATTCCTATGTGTATGTGAAGTATGTACAGTAAAACACCACACAGCTTTCATGTGTCAATAGGGGTAAATGCAAGCAAGAGTGACTTTTAAAGTACCTGATAAAGCAATCTCTATAAAGCCAAAATTAGGCTAAAAAACTGCAAATAGTTGATTGCATCCTTGGAAGAGCTCAAAGAAAATTTCATCAGTTTAAAAATAGAAAGATGTCAAATTCACTGAAAAACTAAGTTGGGTTCTTTCATTAAATCTTGGGAATACTGCAACATCAAATATTTGCTCTTTCTGCAAGAGGAACAAAATTGGCAGCTCCATTTTTACATTATTACTCACACAGGAAAGTTTTAGGAGTGGAGAATTGTAACAAAACATTCCAAATGGACGACCTAAAAATGGAGCAAGGGGTAATGCCCCTCGGCATTATTTCCTCAACAAATACAGAATACAAATTTACCATCAGAATATTAGCTGTGTGTGGTAAGAGGGGGAAAAATAGATATGGTGTCCCAGTCTGTGGACAAGGACAAAAAGGCTCTGAATAGGTCACCATCTTCAATTCTGGATAAATCTCATATTTAAGAATTCTCAAATGCTTAAAATGGTGGTCTTTTCAGCTACCCATCCTAAGAAGTCAAGTACAAGCATGCAAGTAAATTCACAGGCACAGAGGATCCATGTTAAAAACAGTTAAGGTAGCTGTGATGCAACACCAACAATTTGAATGGCCCTGACACACTCAAAATATTATCTTAATTATTCAACGAAATCCTGAAGCAAACTCTTGCTAGTCTTGGTACACTGCTAAACACTAAAGTAGCATGTTTTTTCCATGGTTTCAGCTTAGCTCAAAGAATTTTTACACTATTAAGAAAAAAATTAAAGTATTTCCCCTTTTTAAATTTACACAGACGTTTAATTAGCTTTATTTACAGAGCAGGGATTTTTTTTTCAGTCTCCAATGGTGCCTAGATAACATCATTAGGCAAGAATGCCAGTTTAAAAGAAATCTATGCAGAATCCTAAAAATAACAGATGTTGATGCTCCTCAAGAAAGGGCAAGCTTGACTATATCAGCAGCTCTTTCTCTATGCCTCAGTTACTCAGAAGCAATTCTGTTGCAGTCTCTACATCCCATGATTTTGAAGACAAGGCCACTATTACTGCATTCTGTAGAGAAGAAAGGGGGACACAAAAAAATCAAATCTCAAGAAAATATTTTTAAAATACTGAATCATGCACTATCTTTATATTGAGAAATCACACCTTGTTTTCTTTTTTTTTTTTTAAGTTGCCTGGCATTTGTAATGCATAAAAAGCTCCTAAACCAATGACTGGAATTAGCAAAGGGAAAAGAAAAATCACTGATTATAATAACAGAAGAAAGTTTATCAAAACTAGATTTAGAGAGTATCTTTGAAACACTTTTGTCAGCCAAGGATTTGCAGCAATAATTTTAAGTCAATCAATAAATGTATCAAAATAAGTATGCTTTTATATACTTACCCTATCAAAGCCCATAGCACATAAGTTTTCTATTTTTTTGGTGTATTCTGGACTAGAAACTGGTGCTCCAGCATACACATGTGCCCAAAGTCGAGCTGTCTGTTTGAACATTTCAGGATTTTGTTTGTACTATATGGAGAAAAAAATCAAATGACATGACAATACAGTAGTAGTATTCAATACTTAATTGCCTAAGAACTTGTTTCTTTTCTTTTTTTTAAGTTTACTTACTTTGAGAGAGAGAGCACATGCACAAACAGGGGAAGGGCAAAGAGAGAATCCCAAGCAAACTCTGCACTGCCAGTGTAAGCCCAATGTGGAGCTTGAACCCATGAACTTCCAGATGATGACCAGAGCCGAAGTTGGACGTGAAGTGTCAAACATTATACAACTAAACAGAATTATTTGCTTCTAAAACTAGGTGGACATTCACTAATAAATGTAACTGACCTTTGTACTAACCACAGTTCATGACAGAATACAACTAGACTTCACTGTTTTGCTAGAGCTGTATTAGCATACAGTGATTTAAGGATATGCCATGTGCAATGCCTGTTTGTTTTTTTAAAGATTTTATTTTGGGGACACCTGGCTGGGTCAGTTGGAGAGCATGGGACTCTTGATCATGGGGTTGAGTTCAAGCCCCATGTTGGGCATGGAAACTACTTAAAGGAAAAAAAACAGATTTTATTTTTAAGTAACCTCTACACCCAACTTGGGGCTCGAATTTACAACCATGAGGTCAAGAGTCGCATGTTCCACCGAACAAGCCAGGCAGGTGCCCTGATTTACAGCATGTTTTGAAAGGTTTATGAACTTATCTCTTAAAAGTACCATAAAGTACTTTTAAAATGTAATACTTCCCGGGGCGCCTGGGTGGCGCAGTCGGTTAAGCGTCCGACTTCAGCCAGGTCACGATCTCACGGTCCGTGAGTTCGAGCCGCGGTCCGTGAGTTCGAGCCCCGCGTCGGGCTCTGGGCTGATGGCTCAGAACCTGGAGCCTGTTTCCGATTCTGTGTCTCCCTCTCTCTCTGCCCCTCCCCCGTTCATGCTCTGTCTCTCTCTGTCCCAAAAATAAATAAACGTTGAAAAAAAAAAATCTTTTAAAATGTAATACTTCCCATTCTCATTGGAATGAGATAAATTTATTCTCAAATACTGAGGCCAACATTACTTAACAAGTGACGTATAAATTTAAAATAACTATTCAATTCACTTTAATACTTCTTTTAAAAGTATTGAATATTTTAAGACTGATAAGCTTCTACTGTATATTAAAATGAAAAACCTAGTTTCTACCATGTTAATTCTTAATAAGAGAATAAGTCAAATTATTGAACTGTTTTAGGAACAAGAAGAAAGTGCTTAGACCAACTTCAGGCTTTGAGGCTCAGATCTCCAATAGGAACTCAAAGCTGAGACTCAAGCTATGGTTTTGACTACCCAGAGGGAATGAACAGTGTATATATGTAGCACGTAAAACCCTAATTCTAAGCACTCTGAGACAAACAACAGACGATATTAACAAGTATATACATTAAACAAGGAGTGAACAGCTTTTCAAGGGAAAGGAACAGGTTTTACTAAGAGGAAAGTTTCCTCAGGCAGAGGAAACATGACAAATTGGGGGAAATAACCAGTATAAATGAATGCCATCTTGAAAAGGCAAGGAATCCAAGGAACAGTAAGAATTTAGATGAGATAAGCTGGGTTTGTAGACAGTTCAAATCATGGAAAAGCTCTGCAAACTAAAGAATCTGGATTTACCAAGTAGGTAATAGCAGAGCTTCCAATAGGTTTTTATTAGTAAAGTAAAATAAGATTTGTACTTTACAAAGCTAACTGGTATCAATGTAGAAGATGGGGGAAGGAAGAGGCCGAAGAAGGGGTAGGTATAAGAGCAGTCGAATGGAGATATTTTTAAAAATGTGAACTAAGGCAAATCAGAGAAGTATGATGAAAGAGATACTGGGAATGGAATCAACAAAAGAAAAGGAGACAGAAAGAAATTCCAAGTCTGTGATGTGGACATTTAAATTGATGATAGTATAATATAAGGATGGAAAGTTCACAGGATTTAAGATTCTAGGTTCAGTTTTGGGAATACTGTGCTGAGGTATCAGTGAAACATTCATATAGGGCTATCCTGTTTCTGAACAGGCTCTTGGGCTCAGAGAGAGGTCAAAGCCTAAACATTTTCTCAACTTACAGGTGATCGTATCAGTATGGATATGATCACCTAAGTTACCATATATAATGGAAAATAAAAGGAACAGTGTCAAAACCAAGGAACCATATTTAAGAGGGAGGAAAAAGAGAAATAATTGTAGAAACTAAGAAGGAACAACTACAACTACCAAGATGAAGAGAGTGTTGTATCTCAAGTCAAGAGAAGAAAAATTTTTAGATGGGGGGGAAAAAAAAAGCTCAGTAAATCCTAATGGCTTAGAGGTTGGCACACTTTCTCTAAAGACCAGATAATTATTTCAATTTTCAGACCATACCATCTTTGTTCCAACTGTTCAACTCTGCCATTTTGTGGCTGGAAAGTAAACAAAGGGGTATGGCAATAAAACATTATTTACTTGTAATTTACTGTCCTCTGTTAAGATCCTTGGTAACATTTACCATGCCACTTCAGCTATAGCAAGAGCTGGTTAAAATGATCATCAGGGGAGGGATCATCACTAAACTGAAGGACAGAGATGGATACACACATGATAAAGCATGTACAGTAAATAATCACAGAATCCAGATGTAGGCAGGACTATGGGTGTTCACTGTGTAATTCTTTTCACATTGTGCGTTTGAAAATTTCACTGATGTGTTTTTTAAAAAAAGCATCTATCACATATCCAATTAAATTAGTATTTTAAAAATCAGTAAATTAAGTTTTCACTATTATATCTGAAAAAATAATCTCACCACAAGAAAGAAAACCATTTCCAAATTTAGTTTCAATGGAACTATGCTCACGTGTTAACACTGCAAACCACTATGGTAGTAAAGAATTATAGGTAAGTATAAGAAGGTCTTATAAAAGCAGCTACCTTACCTGATTTGCTACTACTGCATCTTGTGGATCATCTGGTTCTGCAGCTGCCAACAGGGCTTGCAATGACAATAATACCGTGCGGAGAGTCATTGCTGCTGCCCTAAAATTCAAACAGGAAAATATTCCAGTTAAGAACACACTGCATGACAAAAACAAAAGTGGATGTTTCCTGAATAAAATATAAAAACTGGAGATAAAAATAACTTAGATTTTATCTTAATCATGTAGCTAAATTGTAGAAATTTATGTATCTACCTACCATGTTTTTCTTCTTCTTGACTTTAAAATGAATGGAGTTTATTTCTTAAGACAATTCAAAGCTTCCTGAACTGGCCTTCCTTTTCTTTTTGTTGGCAATATCCTTCTAGTCAACTTTATCCACTGACTTAATTTTCTACCCACTTCTCTACACATGAAGTGATAAACTAGTATGTGTAACTTTCTTTCAATGCCACTCCAAAAACATATAAGATACCATCAAGCAAATATCCCTTATTTTCAAGAAAGCCTAAAAGCACTCCATAACATTCTGAAACAGACCAAGTTTACTTAAAATATATCACCACTAAATTCATGCTTCTAAATGTATTTTGTAAGCAAGTATTTATCTAAAAAAATGGTATCTACATAACCAGCAAGGATTCTTCATGTTTCTGTTAAAAAAAGCTGTCTGACCAATATAGAAATATTCATAAATATAATAAATGCAACAGTGAAATATTTAAAAAGTTGAAGGAGCATTAAATAATAAGCCCATTTTAACCACACAAATTAGATCAGTCTAATCCAATCTTTTTCAACTGGGTTCCTCATTTTAACCACGGAACAGAGAAAATTACCGAGTGACTCTTTTCTCAATTTTCCCAAGAATGGTACCATCTTTGACTATTACAATAAAGGTTAGTTTATTACCAATAATGGAGGCCTTAACCAACAATAGATGCCTTAAGGCAGTGTATCCCACAAAGTGTAGTTTCACCAACCAGTAGTGTCAACATCACCTGGGAAACTTGTAAGAAATGAAAATTTTCAGCCTCATCCCAGACCTCCTGAATCAGAAATGCCAGGGTAGGATTAACAAGTACCCCAAGTGATGTTTTTTTAGTTAACATCTTAAAACACTTTTTTTTAATTAAAAGAAATTTTATTTTTTTATTTTAGAGAGAGAGCAAGTACACAAGCAAGGGGGAGGGAGAGAGAATCCCAAGTTCAGTGCAGAGCCTGACATGGGGCTCAATCCCACGACTCTGGGATCATGACCTGAACCAAAATCAAGAGTCAGATGCTCACCTGATTGAGCCACTCAGGCACCCCACTCCAAGTGATTCAGATGCAACCTAATGTTTGAGAAATACTGTTTTAGGGGATTACAGCCTGAGCTAATTAAGAAGGGCTACTCTAAACCAATATAATAAAATCAATATCAAAACTGTAGTTCCGTATTTTATATATGAGAGAAAAACTGCATCACAAATGAATCATCAAAAATGCTACCAGAGGGGCGCCTGGGTGGCGCAGTCGGTTAAGCGTCCGACTTCAGCCAGGTCACGATCTCGCGGTCCGTGAGTTCGAGCCCCGCGTCGGGCTCTGGGCTGATGGCTCGGAGCCTGGAGCCTGCTTCCGATTCTGTGTCTCCCCCTCTCTCTGCCCCTCCCCCGTTCATGCTCTGTCTCTCTCTGTCCCAAAAATAAATAAACGTTGGAAAAAAAAAAAAAATTAAAAAAAAAAAAAAAATGCTACCAGAATAAAAATTTTTATTTCTCAATCTACCTTTTTGAGAAGTTTAATCGGAAAAGGAAGAGACTGGTTATGACACAAAAGTCAGCTGAAATGCTAAACTAGCATTAAAGAGAACAGGATTTTAAAAGCTTTTTAAACCACTATATATGGTTATGTAATGGAAATTTCTAATTCTGAAACAGGGCTGGAAAAATGGAGATTATTTTTCTAAACCAAGGTTCTAAACTTCCAGGGCACCTGGGTGGCTCATCAGTTAAGCATCTGACTTTGGCCCAGGTCATGATCTCATGGTTTTTGAGTCTGAGCCCTGCACTGGGCTCTGTACTGAGAGTGCACAGCCTGCTTCTGTTCCCCCCCCCCCGCCCCTCCCTCCCTTGCACGTGCTCTCTCTCAAAAATAGATAAACATAAAAAAAAATAATAATAAGGTTCTATATTTCCTAAGAGCTTACAAAAGTTACTTTCAACCAACAGGTACACCATCTTTAGAATGGATATTCTTTTAAGACAGGAATCAAAGCATAAAAATCGGTATTTAGCGCTTAAATGTTCATTCTTGTCCTGCCGTTATCACTGTGACAAGGTGAAATCTTTCTTAATTAGAAGTACACTACTTTTGGGGCACCTGGGTGGTTCAGTCAGTTAAGTGTCCAACTCTTGATTTCGGCTCAGGTCATCCATCATCTGACAGTTGGTGAGATTGAGCCCCAAGTCAGGTTTTGTGCTGACAGCTTGGGATTCTCTCTTTCCCCCTTTCTCTGACCCTCCACTGCTCACACACTCTGTCTCAAAGTAAATGAACATTAAAAAAAATACACTACTTTGTCTATTTGGGTAATTAAATTTTTTAATGTTTATTTTTGAGTGTGTGCACGCACAAGTGGGGGAAAGGCAGAAAGAAGGAGACAGAGGGTCTAAAGTGGGCTCCATGCTGACAGAAGAGGCCAATGTGAGGCTTGAATTCATGAACCTGTGAGATCATGACCTGAGCCAAAGTTGGACACTTAACTGACTAAGCCACCCATGTGCCCCTCTATTTGGGTAATTTTGAAGAGAATGTTTAAAGGTACGTGAACATCAAAAGCTGCCTACATGTATCAGCATAAAGCTCACCTTCATCACCTGAAAATCATCCAGAAGAGACAAAAATACAAATTATCACAGAAATAGGATATATAAAGTTAAGCTGGCTACTCTAATATTCCATTGAACTTATTTAAGCACACCAATGAAAAAATCCATGACATTAAACAAAATCTTAAGTTACATAATTTTTAATTAATATAATTATTTCTTTCAAGGAAAGTTATCTGAATATTAAAGATAAATCTTCACTCAAAGGAATATTTCATACTAAAACAATTATTAAACTCACTATAATTTTAACTTGTAATAAAACATGAAAACATGTAAAATAAAAGCCGTCTAAATCTCACAAATCATTGCGCAACTGAGTGGCTAAGTCAATTAAGCATCCAAGTCTTGATCTCAGCTCAGGTCATGATCTCATGGTTCATGAGACTGAGCCCCATATGTCAGTCCCTACACTAACAGTGCAGAGCCTGCCTGGGATTCTCTCTCTCTGCCCCTACCCTGCAAGCTCGCTCTCTCTCTCTCAAAATAAATAAATAAACTTAAAAATCTCACAAATCTTAGCAAAACCTTAATAACATTACATAGATAGATTTATATTTTTATCTCAAGGCAATAAACATTTTTCTTTAAAACTTGATGAGCTCTTGGGGCGCCTGGGTGGCTTGGTTGGTTAAGCATCCGACTTCAGCTCAAGTCACGATCTCCTGGTTCTTGAGTTCGAGCCCCACGTTGGGCTCTCTGCTGTCAGCACAGAGCTTCCTGCTTCAGATCCTCTGTCTCCCTCTCTCTCTGCCCCCACCCCCACTCTTGCAAGTTTTCTCTCTCTCTCAAAAAATAAATAAATGTTAAAAAAAAAACTTGATGAACTTTCAAAAGAATGAATTTGGGCCCTTGCTTTACACCATATATGAAAATTAATTCAAAATGTATCAAAGAATTCTGTGTCTCCCTCTCTCTCTCTGCCCCTCCCCCACTCATGCTCTGTCAAAAATAAATTTAAAAAAACTTAAAAAAATAAGAAAAAAATGGATCAAAGAACTAAGTATAAGAGCTAAAACCATACAACACTTAGAAGAAAACATAGGGGGAAAGCTTCACAATTGGGGTTGAATTTCTTGGATGGGATATCAAAAGCACAGGCAACAATAGGAAAACTGGAGAAACTGGTGTAACTACATCAAAGTTAACTGTATAGACAGAAAAACCTGTGCAAAGGATAAAATCAATAGAGTGAAAGGCAACCCACAGAATGAGAGAAAATATTTGCAAATCATATCTGATAAAGGGTTAATGTTTGGAATATATAAAGAATTGCTGTTAACAACAAAAACTCAAAAAATCAGGACCTGAACAAACATTTCTCCACAGAAGATATAAAAATTGCTTATAAGCACATGAAAAGATGCTTAACATCACTAATTGTTAAGGAAACCAAACAATGAGACACTACTTCACATCCATTAGGATGGCTACTCTCAAACAAAACAGAAAAATAAGAATTGCTGGTGAAGATGTAGAGTCACTGGAATCCTTGGGCATAGTTGGTGGGAATGCAAAATGGAGCAACAATTACAAAAAACACTATAGCAGTTCTTCAAAAAACAAAACAAACAAAAAAAACACCTAAACACAGAATTCCCATATGATCTAACAAATCCACTTCTAGATACAGACCCAAAATAACTGAAAGCAGAGACTTAGATACTAGTACACCCATGTTCATAACAAGTATTACTCACAATAGCCAGAAGGTGGAAGTAACTCATTTCCATCAACCCATGAATGAAGAAAATGTGATATTTATCTATCTATCTACACACAATGAAATATTATTCAGCCTTAAAAAGACAAATCAGACCCATGCTACAACATGATGAATCCTGATGACATTAAATTAATAAGTGAAGCCAGGAATAAAAAGGCAAATACTAGGATTCATCACCTAGAAAAGCCAAATTCACAGAGACATGAAGTAGAATGGTGGTTGCCATAGGCTAGAGCAAGACAGGAATGGGAAATAAGTGTAGAGGTGCAGAGTTTCAGTTTCAAAACATGAAAGGGTGGGGATGGGGCGTGGTAGAAGGATGAAGAGTCAAAGCACAGAGGATTTTTAGGACAGTGAAAGTACTCAGTATACCACAATGATGGATACATGTCATACACTTCTTCAAATGCACGGAATGGACAACACTAAGAGTGAACCATAATATAAACTATGATTGGGATAGGTCAATGTAGGTTCATCAACCATAACAAATGTAACATT